AATTGCAAGAACGCTTTTCAATGTGTAAATACGTAGTTTTACTTCATTGTCATGAATAGAGACGACAGTTCAGACATTTATTCTACCTAGGCAGTCAAAAAGGCATTTGTTTTTACTAAAATAGGCATGCAAAAAAGCCAAAGTAAAGGGGCAAAACACAGGACACACAAAAATTACCATTTAAAAGTAATCAATGCAAAAAGTTAATAATTAAATGTTTTACATTTTTATTTTAACTCCTAACAAAATTTCATCAGTATTAACGTGCAAGAAAACTATATTTTCTTTGTAATCTTCAACGCACTTGACCGTCACAATTGCACGGCATGACAATTTCTATGAACATAGCCATAAATTTTTCACCGAAAAAATATTACTTTAACACGGAACGTTATTTAACACTGGTTCTTCGCCCTTTATAATAATGTTTTTCAGTAAATTGTTTATTTTACAGTCAACTCGTGTGGATGAAATATTTGACATCAAAAGTTTAAAACATGGAGAATCTATAACAACCATAAATAACCATAAAACAACCAAAATCACTGAAGGCTGGTTTACGGGCTACGGCCAATGGGAGCCAAAGCAAGCCCTGATGATGGAAATACATTTTCCGAAACACTGGCAAAAAACAATATATTAAAATGTTTTGGCTCCTATTGACCAAGTCCCGTAAAACTGACTTAAGAAAAAAGTTTCTGGTAAATTGTCACAAATGTGAAAACGAATGACCCCGCGACACAACTGTATCAACCACTGAATTTCTCTGTATTGTATCACCAAGTAGTAAATATGTATTGAATAAAAACACTGCGTTATCTCGCTACGATGAAGTACTCTACACGATGAAAAGTACCAGCAGAGGTGACTTAGAGCATCAATTGGTGTTATTGCAGTGTCTCTGACCAGAAGGTCCTATGTTCGTGTCCCGACAGTGGCAGGATTTTCGACACTAGCCTGTCAGGTAAGTTGAATCCTGTCTGGAGGAGAATTCTAGCGGCCGGCTGCTCTGATCGGTAGTTTTCCGTGGTTTCTCCGATCAACACCAGGCGAATACCGGAGCAGTACTTAACAAATGGGCCATGGACCACGCTCTATCTTTCCTTTCTCTTCCTTCTCCTGTCCTGCCTCCACTAACACTAGCAGGCATTACACTATCACACCGGTAGGGAGCTTAGAGCTTGTCCCGCCTGGGGCGGTGCTCAGCTGGTGGGAGATACCTGGAAACCCCGGATCTCGCCATCCAGCGGCGGCGACACCTCCAGTTATAAAACATACACTACACGTACGGGACTAATAACCTTAACAGTTGACGCGCCCGGAATCACTAACAACCAACCAAGGTGATAAGCGTGCTAAAAATTGAATGTAACGTATTAGGTTTTTCGACCAGGAAAATAAAACGTTGATAACGTATGTTATTTTTCCCAAGCCTTTTCGGTGCACAGATTTGTTTTTTATCGGAATTATATATCCTGCATATAGATATCCTGCATATGATCCTCCAAAATCAGATAACCTGCGTGTGTTTGTCCATCCATCTGCCAAAGTTAGACACTTCTCTGCAGTTCGCACTCTCCTTGCTCGTCTCAGACTGCCGCTGGGAAACTGGCCATTTTTTATAAAACTGTTTAAATCGTGAGACACCACACTAATCTAGTTGATATACAATAAATTAAGCTAATGAATCTATTATAAATAACATAAAGCGTTTCAGTGCGAACTCTGACTGAAGTTGAATCAAAAATGGAGACATTTTTTTAATTTTGAAAATGTCCTTGGGTCTCCATGTAAAGTAACCCCCCCCCACACACACACACACACACATTAAAATTTCGGTTTCTAATTCAAGAAGGCGCAACGTCAGCCAGATCGATTACGGATTATCAATTTCGGAGAAAATCGACTGAACGGTTTAGCCGCTAGCGTTGTTCACAGACGGACGGACGGACGGACTAACACTCAGATATTTTGCCGTCAATAGATTTTGTGGTGTCAAGGACGAACAAAACTTGAATTATGGTTACCCCACGTGTTAGAGGATTTTTTTTCTAAATTTAAAATGGATTTATCTACTTTTACGTTACCAGGGACCGGCAATAACAAAATTTCTGCCGAAAAATCGCTGTTTTTTCGGAGAGCGTTACTTAACTTTCTCTGTATTGCGTAAGTGGTAGCAAGGAAGTAAAAATGTGGACTCACGTTGTCCCCACGTGACATTGCGGATGCAGGCCGTCGCCCCGTGCACGACGCCCACGAAGGCCCAGAGCTCGACGCACCGCATGGCGTCGGGACGTCGGCTGAACGGCGTGCAGCGAGCCTGGGGGCTCTGCAGGTCGCATTCGCTTGGAATGTGTCGACGCGCTGCACACGGCGAAACAATGTGCAAGCCCAGTGCTACTGCTTCTCGTGGAATTCACACACTTCCTTTCAAGGATTGGTAATCCAATAAAAATGGTGTCGTATTCAGGCGGGATCAGTGTGATCTGGACTGTGAAATGAATCAGAAACCTATTTGGTAGACTCCCATTGTTGTAGAAATTTACATTCCAGGGTCCGCGTCATCAGTTAGAATGATTGGGGAATATCAATTTTAGACAAAATCGGCCAAACGGTTTATGCGCTAGCTTTGTGAATAGACGAACAGACAGATCTTTCGCTGTCAATCGATTTTTCGGTATGAAGGACGCACAAAAATGGATTCTGGCAACACCACGTGTTAGAGGATTTTTTTTTCTATTTTTAACAACTGGATTTATTCACTTTTTTCCTCACCAGGGCCCGGCAACAAAAGGTTTTGTCAAAAATTCGCAGTTTTCTGGCGCACGATTACAATACTTTCGCTTCTTACGTTAGTTGCGAAAAAGTAAATATGGGCCTCTGGGATTGGCCTGAGATTATCAATTTCGGAGAAAATCGGAGGAACGGTTTAGGCTCTAGCGTTGATCACAGACGAACTTCTTGCCGTCAATCGAGTTTTCGGCATCAAGGACCAACAAAACATTCATCATGGCTATACCACAGGTTTGAGAAACTGATTTACGCTATTATATAAGTGGGATATTTGCACTTTTTCGTTACCAGGGCTCGGCAAAGGTTATTCTGTCGAAAAATCGCCGTTTTTCAGCGCAGGATTCCATAATTTTATATTTTTACGTAATAAGTGCAATTCTTTAAATTCGCAAATTACGAAAATTTAGAGAGTTCAACGAAAATGAGACCGTGCCATTCTTTTAAGAGTACCTTCTATCTGTGGAAAGAAAAAATTTGGAGCGGTGTTTGAGAAACCGAGTGGGGGGCGGTTGGCAGCTGGAAGGAGGATGGGGCAAAACGGAAAACCTTGTCCAGACCAAAGAAATTAGAAGACTAACTGGTACAAGAAAATGTCTGCCATTCTGTAGTCTCACTCTGTTTTGAAGCATTTATTGAAAAAACAGTTTTCTGAATGGATCCATTTGTATCTGATGATCCATCTATATATTTCCAAACAATGCTTTATACTGTTCATTAAGCTGAATTAGTCATATTTCAGAACAATAATTTGCATTGTTTTAAATTTGTTTGATTTTAAAACTTCCATATTGTTTATCACGTATTTTGCTTACGTTGCATGCATAGAATCAATAGATATCCTTAAAACATACGTTGGTTGCTTTTTTCCCCTCTTACAATAGATTTTGCAGAAACAAACAGGAAAATAATCTGATACATTAAGTTTTTTCAAAATGTAGTAAAGAATGATTTTATTGTACTTGTGATTTTGATTTCTTGAATTATCACAATTTAACTTTCGAGCTTCATTTTTGTCAAAAGGACATACATATAAAAGTAAAATGAAAGAAAATTGTTCATAGTAGACTCAAGAAACGTAAGTGAGATTGATTAATAAAACTTCTTTTCAAAATATTTAAATTAAAAAAAGGTGGAATATAAGAAAGAAAAGAAACAAAAAAATAATTTTTAGAGAACCACTAGTAAAAGTTTTTATTTTTGATCACATGAAGCATGCTAAAAGTTCATTTTTTAAGAATAACGCTAAAAGTGAGATGCCGGTCAAATATTCACATAAAACGGGAAATGAAAAAAGAAAAAAACACCTTTTGTCTGTCTACATCAGCTGCAACTGAAATTTATACCTAATTAATGGATTTGAATACTTGAATAAAATGAAAGTAGCAAGGCTATCCAAAAAACTGTATGATGTACATGATGATTTTATTTTGCTCATAGTATTGCACTGTTCAGTCTCTCAGCCTCGTGTTGCAACCTTTCCTACTCATAAAATTAAATGCCTCTTTTACCACTCATATTATAAATAACTGTTTTTAAATAAAATAAACAATATATCAAAATATATATTTTATTATTATATATACATTTTATATTTTTATATATTATATATCAGTGATTGAAATTCAAAAAAATGCCATTCTTCATGACAATAATTTGGTATTTGTAGAATACTCCTTCAAGTACCATTGAAATCCATTTTCAATCTGTAACCTTTTTCTTGGTGTAGCCAGTGATGCCAGTATTACTTCAAAATAACAATGCTGTATTTTTCGAACTACTTTTCTTGTTAATACCAGTTAATATTGGGTAAATATCTTTACTGGTTTCAATTTGTGAATTCTTTTCCTTTTTTTCTAATAGTAAATTTTTTTATTCATTGTTTGAAAAATTTATTCTCTGCTTCTTCTGAAGTTTACTTTGCACTTCAAATAAAATTTTTCCTTTTTTATTTATTTCAGACCTTATTTATTTTCAAAGAGATGGCACATTTTATTATTTGAACAATCCTCTGTTCTGAGGATAGTGTCAGCAAAAAAAATTAAAATACAAATAGGTTTGAGCTTTATAATACACTTGTACACTACAAATTCTGTAATAAATTGCATAAAGTGCGTAGATGATTTAAAGCTGAGACAAATAATGTCTCAAAAAAATATATTTTTAATTCTTTAAGAAGTGGAAAGATAAAAAATTGCTTTCAGTATACGTATTTACATTTGTAACCAAAAATAGTTCTTCAAAAACATTATTTCACAATCATATAACTATTCTAGTTGTGAAAAATTTTGTAAGGGTTAAGAATTCCTTTTGGATCAAGTAATTGCTTGATATTGTGCATTAGTTGAATGGAACTATTAGATTTTGAATAGTGTAAGTATTTTGTTTTATGAATGCCTATTCCATGTTCTGCACTAATACTTCCTTTCAGTAGGGATGTCCATTCATACAAAATAGGTTCAATGATGTTGGGTAAATTTGGATCAATTTCTTTTCCTGATACGTTCAAGTGAAGATTTCCATCTCCTGAAAAGAAAAATTGTAGTATTTCCATCATGTCAAAACATACTTGTTATTTGAAGGCATTTTCTTCAGAAATAACATTGAATATCAATTTTAAAAGAGCACACCATGTTCAAATAACTGCAGGATAAATTCGGTACAGAAATATTCTCTAAATCTGTGAAGAATGAAAAATACTTGCCCTTAAGCTGTACATGAACTTACCTAAGTGTCCCATGCCTGTGCATCTCTTGACAGACGTTCCAGCCAAACACTGTGACATAATGGGAACAATTTCATAAAAATGCTTCAGTGGCACTGAAATATCATACACAATGTACCATCCATCTGCCTTAAAGGCTTCTGGAGCTCTCTCTCGAATTTCCCAAATAGCCTACAAAAAAGATTTGACTTCATTTAATAAATATGTAAAACACATTGAGTAAGTTACCTTCAAGTGGTAATATGTGTGAGAATGTATAAATACGTCCATTTATGATTTTAGTGAAGAGTATAGTAGTAATTAGTGATATATGTGTAGAAGTGATTATAGTACCACACCTTAATTTTTGATGGTTCACTGGCCACAACACCATCTTCTATTTCCCCACTTACTAAAGATGATTGTAAAAAGAAATTGAGCTTGTCCTGATCATGCTCACTGTTGCCGCCAGAAGTCTCTAGTAACATATAGAAAGGATATTCCCCAATAGGATTTTGCACTTTTAAATTGGAAGTAACAGCATCCAGTGTTGCATGATCCATCATTTCACAAGAAGAAAGTATTTCTCCTAGCTTCTTCCGAGCATTAATTGATGTCTTCAGAACTTCTTCAAACGATTTCAAACCTACAAAAAATGTTGGCAAATTGTGATTTCGAAGATTAAAAAAATCCTCACGCTTAGGTTATTATTGCAGTTTTATTCACACTTTGACCATACAAGTTTCAATGAGATACACATAAATACGGTTTAAGAAAAATTCAAAGTATTTTAAGTAAATTGAATTTTAAATTATTCACACATAAAAATTAGGAAAAGTTTTATTAAATATTATTTGCATTAACATATATAGTTAATCTTAGAATACCACATAAGTAAGAACAGAAATGTTGGGAGATACATATTTTACCTAGGAAAGCAACATTAATTGCTTTGGAGATGGGAGGACACTGTAGAGCAACTTTGGTCACAATACCCAGCGTTCCTTCTGATCCAATGAAAAGATGCTTCAAATGATATCCAGTATTGTCTTTCTTTAAAGAACTCAAACAGTCTATGACCTCTCCATTTGCTTTAACCTGTAATCTCAAACCAGAAGCCCTTAATAAAGTTTCATTAAACATAACAGGTTTTCTTGTACTCTATTGCATTTGTGAAGTAGACATTTTTAAATTAAGAAAAGTTAGTTTGCAATTTAACAAGCAGTGTACTGAAGGCAAAAGTTTAAAAAAAAATGTTTCCCTATTGCAATCTATATTTGAATTTGCATTTTTAGTCTAATTTCAAAGATGCAGAATGATGACATAATAGTTCAAAAGTATTTACCAACAATATTTAGATTTGGAAAAGTAGTAGATATGCAATTAAAAAATCACATTGTTTGTTTTAAATGTGTATTTTCTGATAAAATGCTAATTTTGTCAGGGAGTTACATCACCACATATTTATTTTTGAATTAGTTTTGTGCTTTGTCATTTCCATTGATACGTTTTCTTGAAACTGAATATTGATGTTTCAAATTTGTAATATATTGATTGAAATATTTAAAAGCATTGCAAAGCTAAAGCTAAAATGAAAGGCAGATATGTTCCCAAAAATTTTCCTAAAAATGGCTTGAGTGATCAGTCCCACCCGATTTTAGAAGCATCACTTCACTTTTGTGGAGCTGTCCTTAAGAGATTTTAACTAGTGCTATTATGATTTTTATGAGGAGGAAATTTGGAAGAATTATAAAGCCCAGCACAAAGCAGAGAAAATGTCAGTTCTTAGATGCATTAAATATGGTATTAAATGAATAATTCTCAAATAAATGAATAAGGTGGTTGAAGAATTTAAGGGCAGGGAGTAGTCAGGAGGTTGCCAACATTAATGAGAGAGTTGGCAACTATGAGAGAGCAGTAGAAATGCAGAAGTGAAGGGACTGGGAAGGGAGTGGTTGAAGTTAAAAATATTAGAAGAGAGAGAACGTTGAAGGGGCTGTTTAGTTTAATTTCTGTGATGTAGTGTGTTTCTTGTCTTTAAATTCAACAAGCTCTGTTATTTAATTCAATTGCACATCATTTCATTGCAGTATTTTATTTATGCATTCATTTGTAGTGTATTGACATTTTTATGATTCCGACATTCTTTTATTACAGTAACAGACAATTTTTTCTAATTTTAGAGAACCTGTTCAAATGTCAACCTTATTATTTCAATTACTTTTTTTTTATTATTATTAAAATTCTACTTCACCTTTTGAATTTTAATAATTTAACAATTCAAAACTTACTGCTTCAACACCTAGAACATTTCCTTGAAGACTGCCATATCTGAGTAATCGAATCCCTCCTGCATTTGTTGATACATTTCCTCCAATCTGGCAACTTCCCTTTGCCCCTAAATCAAGAGGCATCTGGAAGCCGTGATCAGAGAGATAATTTTCAAGTGTTTCTAATATACAACCAGCTTGGCAGATCACAACACCTACAAGATAAGCACAAATAAGATTTTCCTTTCTATCCTCTTGTACACAGAGATTGTATAAAAGCTATTAGCTTATTTGGAAGAAATTAATTTTAAAGAATATTATTTTTTATGTGTTATAAATATTTATAACTGTGGGAATATAAATAGAAAATTTCAAAGTGATTTGCTTATTAAAATTATTACATAAGTAGTTATTACTTCCCCTTCCACTCCAAACTTCCACAGTCACTTTCCAGCATTGTTGTAAAAAACTTACATTACTACTTCATAAAAACAATTTGCAAAAATAATGTCTCTGATTTTGTCCTAGAAGTTACAGTATATGAACATTACAATACACATGACGGTTTTTCAACAAAACCTTTCAAACGTTGTATTACAAAAACGATCATACCTCAAATAGAAAGTTTCTGTTCTGCTCAACATAATGCGGTTTCTGCCATATAGAAATTATAATGTTACTTTTCTTTATTTTCTTTTAAAAATTACACTTTTTACCTTCTCGCGCTTACTTCGTAAAATGAGAAAGTATTGTAATCGTGCACCGGAAAATGGCGAATTTTCTACATAAAAATTCTTATTGCCGGGACCTGGTAACGAAAAAGTGGATAAATCGTGTTCCCGTATATAGTAAATTACTTCCTCTAACACGGATAGTCAGATCCCATGTTTGATACCAAAAACTCTATTGAAGGCAAAACGTCTGTCTGTCTGTTTGTTTTTCTGCCAGTCTGTGGTCTAGCGCCTAAACCATTCAGCTGATTTTTTAAAATGGATATTCTCCAATTTATTTAAAGCCCTGCGAATTCGAAACAGATATTTTGATTTTTGGGGGTACTTTACACAAATCCTCATTTACAGTTTCTACATTTTCTCAAAAAAATTTTTATTAAACTTAGTCCTCGGATGGTGCAAAAGACAATTAAAGAAATGGCGCAGCCATGATTTTTCTAAAATTGCATAAGTAGACATTTTCGGCGTCCACCTACCTCTACAGTCTTGACGATCGTTATTTTCCTCGATGAAATTGTTGTTGAAAGACCGATCTCGAAGTAACGTCTTGTACATTTTTGAGAAAAAATGAGTAGCTGTTGCGAAATTTTGCGCGAAAATGGAATTTTAAATAATTATTTTCTAAAATCGTTTCCAATATTTTTCTTCAAAATTTTCCTCCAATGAATCAAAGAACATATAAAAAGATGTGTTAGTCCCATTTCCAGCGATCTCTCTATTTTCGAAAATTGGAAAAAGGTAACATAGCAAAACTATAAATTTTAAAGGTGTTGATTTGTGTTTTAAATAAAAGTAGTTATCAAGTCATCTTTAAAAGAGGTCGTGTAATTATTTTTTTTTGAAAAAACAAGTTGTTGTGTTAACAAAAAAACTAGTTTCGAAAACTGCTTAAATTGAATGCAAATTACAAAAGAATGTCAAAAAAGATGCAATTTTTTTCTTCACATTTATTCCATGGATTGAACAAAGGACACTTAAACGGATCTCGTTTTCGGTTAACTCTGGGTTTTCGAAAATCGCAAAAGTTCGAAATAATGTAAGAAAGTGTGTGCAGTTATAACTCAATTAGTTACACACTGATTTGCTTGTTGCAAAGTTTTACTAATATATTTTTAGTTTGTATCATAATTCTCTTCTTCTTAGGAATATTTTCCATCAAATGTACTAAAATTTACATTCTTGAAGAACTGGGAGTTTTTTTTTATTTTAAAGGTAAAGATGATAAATTAGCTATCTCAATTTTTTTGCATTAATAACTTAGTAATTAATGGTGATATGAGAAAATCATTGCATCATGTGCCAACAAAACTTTTACAAAGTAATCTGGACTACAGTACCACAATGTCTGATTCTGCATTGCACTTGTATGTAGTATATCACTTAATGAATAATAGAGATTGAAAATAAACATCATATTTTTAGTTACAGATCTAAAGAAAATAACATTTTAGAACTACAAAAAGTAGTAAATTGTAATAATTATCTTACCTGATAGCTCATCAAGACTTAAGATCTGATTCATTAGGCTAGTGGAGATAACAATTTCATCAAATACTGGTACACTTCCTCCCACAACTCCAGTGTTTCCCCCCTGAGGGCAGACAGCGAGGATTTCATCATTGCAGTATTTGAGAATTGCAGAAACTTCTTCAGTAGTTTTTGGCTTCAAGACAATTTTACTCTGCCCTATAAAGAAAATGCTGATGTCTCTTCTTGTAAATACTATTAAAGTACTACTCTGAAAAAATGTTCCTTACCTTGAGCCAATTTCAGCCAGTCAACATTATATGGTTCAACGTCAGATGGATCAGTTAAAACTCTCTGTTTGTCCAAAATACTTTCAAAGAAATGTATATGGTCACTTGTAAGTTGAGAATAGTTTCCTCTTTGAATACTAGATGCATGAATAGTAGTCGATTCATTTTGAGCAATTTGCTGGAGCGTCTGGGAAGGGTGTAATTTTCTTGCAGCAAAATATAGAACAGAAGTCCTTATGTTTTCATGATATGTTCTTCTGATCGCAATTTTTCTGATAATTTTTGAGAGCATATTTGTATACCTGAAAGAATAATAGATTTGTTAATGTTTCAAAGGAATAACATCATTTAAAGGTATCATATTTAATTTTGAAAAGTGTATAAACTGAGGAATGTTTTTAAAAAAATGTTATTCGTTAATTTCTCCATGATGTTTGTCTACCAATTCAACCCCGTGGAGGGGATCAGGGCTGTCAGACAAAGGAACAGGGGCACGACCATCGGATCGCATTCGCGCACATAGTGTTTCGTGGCGCGACAGATTCCAGAGAGGGCAGGGGTCACAGATTTAATGAGAAAACTGCGATTTGGACAAAGCAAAAATAGTATTCCATGGAGAGACATTTATTAAATTGTGCAAACCTTTTAATGTTTGCATGTCCCCCTTTCACGCCCCCCTTGCTGAAATATTCTTTCGTCGCCGGTCTGGCTCAAGTGAAAGAACATCATGGCTACGGCTCCACTCTTTACCGTTCGACAGTTCGAACAAAGCGGATTTCTGGCGTGGGCATCGTTGTGCAGGAGGTTGTCCTAGAGTTCCAGTCGCGACTGTCAGTTTTTCAACACTGGCTCCTACATAGCTGGGCCTAATCCAGCGACTGTATGAAGCGGCTGACACATCTGCTCGGTAGTTCTCCGTGGATTCTCCGATCAATATCGGGTGAAGCCCAGAGCCCAACGGACCCCCTAACGGGCTACGGAGCGCGCGCGAATTCCCCTTCCTCGTCTTCGCCTCCCTCCCCCGTACATGCATTACACTATCACTCGTGATGGTAGAATTTCGCAATTCAATTTTTTTTAAATCGTTTTCTTTTTTTTTTTAAACAAGAGTATAGCATTATAAAAATTAAGATTTTTTCTGTAGCATTTGCTGAGAAAATATTATTAAGAGAAGACTCTTTGAGATAAAAAAAATATTTTGAAACTTTTTAGATATTCCTATTATAATCAGGAAATAAGTGAAACTACATTAATATTTCATTTGTTAACTTCAACAAATATAAACCACAAAAAAATCATCATTGGCCTACGGCCTTCCTCTTTTTCCGGAGAACTTCTCCGCACAGTGAACTGAGGAAGCTCAGTCTTCCGGATCGATTTCTTAAAGTGTTTTTATTATTTTTTCTTTGTTTGTCAGTTAACTCTTAATTACAAATTAAAAACCACGGCCCTTCTTTGGTAAAATTTCGCATTTTCAACACTTATTGTAATGTATTATTTTAACCATGCCGGGAAATCATTCAGCAGCTTAGAGCTCGCCCGGGCGGAGACGGTGCTCCTCAGCGGGAATACCTGGAAGGGACAATTCCCGCAGACCGAGCCAGGGTAATTCGGCGTCTCCGCTCCAGCGGCCAGGGAACACCGCCACCTCCCGGCATGCTCTACACGAACGGGACTAATGACCATAGCAGTTAACGCGCACGGAAACAATACTACTCACTCACTCGCTCCGGGGCGCGTGGCAGGAAAGGGGTTGCGCTGCGAACTTCCCCTCGAAGGCGCCTGTCGCGTCGCGTCGCGTCGCGTGGGCTGCCGCTGGCTGCCGCCCGCTGAATGCAGCGCGTTATCTGCGACAGCGCGTTCGAAGGCTCCAAATACCCCCGCGCTCCGCCTGCGTCACAGATAGCGAAGAGGAGGCAGAAGCGAGGGTTTCTGTACACTGAAAACATACATTACTCATCGCTCTTCCACCAGTTCGTCTCTTCGAAGAAAGGTGCGGTGTGTGTTGTCGCGCGGTAGTAGGAGACTAGCGCATTTTGGGATGCGCGTGGATGAGGCAAATCACACACCTGCAGATAACTGGTGGCTTATGAGGAGGGGCGGATTCACGTTACCATAAACGATCAATTAAATGCTCTTAAAATGTTTTAACAATGCCATAGAAGCAAAGAATAATGACGTAAAAAGATTTATCAAAACCAGTTTTGATCAACAACTCAAGCTGTTGGATATATTTCTGAGGTAATCGAGGTTTCTTTTCTTCGTTAAAGTGCTTGCAAATTTTTGGCTTGGACTGTTCTTTACCGGGAAATCTCCGTCTTTGGTTTTCTCGAAATCGGGTGAATAGACAAAGACGTTGATGGGCGTCACAGGAACCTTACATCACATACAGCGGCTGAGACTACGATTTCTGAGCGAAGAAATCGAAATACTCAGGTTCTTACTTCTGTGGGAACAATTGTTGCATCTCGTAAACATTATTTGAAGCAAGCACCATTAAAATTATATTAAAATCGATCAAATCAGCACAAAATGCATTAAAAATGACGGAAAAGGGTAAAAAGTGACGTGTAAAGATGGGTCACTTCTTTTGTTATAACATAAAATGACTTTCTATACTAGAATACATCATTCCAAAGGGAAAAGAAAAAAGATATTTCATTAAAATCTGTTTCCTACTTATAAGAAATGTAAGTTCATGTCTTCCATTCAATTTTCGCTCAATCCACATGTCTCTAAATTTTGTCGTAGGAAACCGTAGTAAACATTACCACTGCCTGATCCTTCTTTCAATACACCCTGTCCGACAGATCAGCCGGGAAATATTAATATCAGTGATCTAAAGAAACAAAAGAAAAATACAATATGGAAGAGTACTCCAACAAATTCCATATTACGACAGTAAACTGCTGATATAGCACAGGAGAGAACAGTTTCTCGCCTCACTACGTACTTACGAAGTGCGTAGTAAAGAGAGTACGGTAACACTGCGGTGCATTTTTCAACAGAAAAACTCGTGGGGAGAAACACGGGGGGAAAAACTCAGGGGAATTGGTATCCAAAAAGTGGATAAATCATGTTCGTATACGTAGTAAATTACTTCCTCTAATACATCTAATCTTCCTCAAAATTCACCTCTTTTTAAGAGTCTTTGATGACGAAAAATTGATTGGCGGCAAAACGTGTATGTCCGTGTGTTCAATGCTAGCACGTAAACTGTTCAGACGATTTTTTCCAAAACTGATTTTATCAGATAACTTTGAACAAATTCGAGGCCCTGTGAGTTTGAAACAGATATTTTGATTTTCGGTAATATTTTACATAAGTATTCAAAATATTCTCAAAAACTTCTCCAATTTTTACTTTCTCGCTACCACTGGCGGATCCCACAGGCTTAGTATTTTTACCTCCCTTTATTTGGAACAAATGATTTAAATATTTATGTTCAAATTATGCAATTATTTAAACAATAATATTGTATAGTATCATGTCTACAGTACATAAATAATATGAAATATAAAAACAAATATGTTTATTATTTACCAAAAGTCTGCGTCCCCCCCCCCCAAATGATCGCCTGGATCCGCCCCTACTCGCTACTGCTTACACAGTATTCTATAATAGATAAAGTGCTATAATGCTTCGGGGGGGGGGGAAACTTCTAATTTTCGACAGAAAAATTCTTTTTGCCATGCCATGGTAATGAAAAAATGGATAAATCCTGCCCATTTATAGTAAATTACATCCTCTATCGCATTGTGATGTCAGAATCCATGTTTTGTGGGGCCTTGATACTGAAAAATTGTTTGACGACAAAATCTGTATGCACGTCTGTCCGTTTGTGGTCTACACTAGCGCGAAAATCATTCAGCTGATTTTCTCCAAAACTGGTATTACCCCAATCGATCTGACTGATGTCGCGATCTGAAGTACAAATATTTTAAGTATTTAAATAATATGTTCACAAAAAATATGTTTTAATTTTTAAATTGCAATTTTTGACATTACATCGACACTTAAATTAATTGTAAAAAATACTCATGTGTTGCTATAATGTATTGATCTGTCAAATTTCAAAGGGAGACACACATAAATAACTTTTTTTAAATAGTTTGTTCACCCGAAACGTGTAGACAGCGCGCTGCCCGCCGTACTCGCTGCTTGAACTTCGGGGTGTCAATGACACGACGTATCTTGACATCCAACACAAAGCAACCGTGAAATTTATGAATCGCAGAAACACACATACGGAAGTATGAGTCTCATATGGAAGTCTTGTGACGAAATGTGACTATTAAGTTTATTTATAAATAACTGACACTGCTAGGGTCGGCCTGGAACAGAGTAGCCTTCTTTCTCAGTTATTTAACTTTGTCACTACTGACAAAGTAAAATAGATGTTGGTTTGTTCGAGATCGATAAACTTCGACACCATTTGAGAAGGTTTTTATGCTTATTCTACTTTCTCACATTTACTGACGTAGGAAGAGAAATTATTGTCATCGTGCGCGCGAAAACGGCGAATTTTCCACACAAAAACTCTTATTGCCGGACACTGGTAAGGAAAAAGTTGATAAATCCAGTTGCTAAATATAGGGGGCGGGAATCTTCTAACACATGGTGTAACAAGAATCCATGTTTTGCATGTTCATCATACGGAAAAATCGATTGACGGCGAAACGTCTGTCTGCCCGTCTGTGCACAAATTAGCACATAAACCGTTCAGCCGATTTTCTCCAAAATTGATATTCCCCAATCGTTCTAGCTGATGTCGCTGCCCCTGGGATTTGAAACCGATATTTTAATTTTGGGGATACTTTACATGAAGTCCCCCTTCAAAATTTAATTTAAAAAATTGGAGCCATTTTTTATGCTGAATATTTATGTGTAAGAGAATGATGCAAGTCATTTCCGTTAACATCCCCGATTTTTCGAAAACTGCAAACAAAGTTTTTTAAACTACAAAATTGACAATAGAGATTTTTGACTTAAAGTCTGTTGAACAAAATTGGCTCTTTAAAAAGGTCATATACAATTTTGTGAAAAAACGAGTGGTTTTTGCGTAATTTGAGCTTAAAATTTACGTATTTCTTCTCAAAATCCGCTCTACATTTTTTCTTTAATTTTTTTTTACGCATGTAATGAGGGATGGTCAAAATATAGTGTTTGTCCCATTTTCGGGTAGTGCTCGTTTTCTTTCGAAAATTGCAAAAAATATTTCAAAACTACAAAATTGAAGATAGAAATGTTTGTTGTACAAATTTAGATCTTTAAATAATAACAAGTATTTTTTTGTAAAAGGTAGTTGTTTTAGCGTAATTTTTGTTCGAAATTAATGAAGCATATATGAGCGTCCCATCGTAGAATACGATAACATTGTAATATCGCGAGAGAGTATGTGCGGCTGTAGCATTACTAGTTGTAACTCCACTATTATTCGTTCACCCCAAAACCTGATGTAAACAAATTGAAGAAATCTTCGCACTGCGCTTCTGATTGGAGGCGTCCTAGCGCATTTCTTTCGATGACGCGAGTAGCATACTCCGCCAATTCAAACGGAATAAGAGCTGTCATGAAATGTCGTGTTCATGTAACTACATTTTACTTACGATCAGTCTGCTTCAGGAAGGCGTTGTCAATAACCGGATGCTGAAAGTTATTTGTATAAATTGGTTGCCCAAAAATTCGAAAGTTCTTGATCACAAGCTGCAACAATAACAAGCGTAGGTGTTTTCGTTTCTGCACGTTTGCCCTTTTGATGCAAGGAATGCATTTTTGATCGAACAGCGCTGAATGCAAAGTCATCGTAAGCTTCAACCAGTTTCTCTTCTCTGGTGTTTGTAGTTGTCCCTTGTCAGCGAGCTCTTTCCTGAGTGCTAATACGCCGACACGGATATTCGAGTCAAATCTGCAATTTGCTTCATCGGTAACGAACGATTCCTAGCCAAAAGCGAATTGAAACGAGGAAAGAACGATGCGCTTTTCGCTACTCTGAAGAAACTTATCACACTTGTGTTAAATTATTATTGAAGAGCCGGCCACATTCTCAGACATTCTAAAACGAACTGAATAGCTGAGCCTTGCCGCAGGCCCACGCGCCCTACCCGTGTCGATCAGCACGTTCGTGGGCTGAACTGTCAGAGGTTCGTCTCGCAACACGCACCAAGTTCACAATGGTTTCCTTTTTCGAAACCGTTGCCTTTTTCGAAACCGTTGACGCCAGATTAAATTAACGAACGATGACAGATAAATTAGTTCTCTGTACAAGAACTTTAGCGTAAGAATCCCGACAACAGCAGAGCTCACACTGCAAACCAATGAGAATAATCCTAACACACGTGTATTAGTTTAGGGAGAACTGATAATAGATGATGATGCAGCACGAGATGGCGCTTCAGTAACATGCAATTCCCCATCCACCTGGGCTCCATTTTTGCTAGGCGTTGTCATGTGCGGGGCGAGGTCGTGGAGGGAACGGGGAGCGGGCGGATCAGGATGGAGAGAGGAGAAAGAGTGGAGTGAGAGAGAAAAGAGAGTGTGGGAAATGAGAGGGGGAAAGAGAGAGCAGGGCCTCTGACGGGGTCTGCTAGTAGCTTCTTGTAGGCCAGGGCCAAGGCCTCCTGCGCTACGTGGGAGGAAAACTTGGTTGGTTCTAATCTTCCCAGATCTTAAAGCGACAAATTGTTTCTTTTCCCAGTTCCAGACTCGACCCAACTTTAATTACAATCATTCAACAACTACAACAAATGCAATAATCTACATTAACAGGGCTTATTTCGGGGTTGATTTTCACTCTGTATCTCTCCCACTCGCTAGATGCTTATGTTCATAATTTGTCTCGTCAGAAAACCAGCAAGCCAGCATTCGGCGTTTGTAATAAAAGCGAGGACAGGCCCATGTGGAACATGCAATTGAGCGTGCTTCGAGGTGATGCCACGACAGGTGTCAACATGCGCATATCCCCCTTATCTTCTCGTGACCATCTTTAACAGGGAGATAATTTGAATAAAACCACACGTGACTCGGAATAGATAACAAATGATCTACACAAAAAATGAAAAACTAGTACAAGAAAGTAAAATGGCATAGCATCCCAGACAAGAACAAGAAAATTACTAAATAGTAATAAAAATTTCATCAAAGGAAGTTGTAAAGAGCTTGAAAGGCGTGTTGAAATAAATCTGCACAGTATGCCTTTAATAAGAAGGTCATCAATATACTATCAACTGTGTCTTTAATAATAAGAATTAAATTAAAAATTATTATTATTATGGGAAACCTAATTATTAAAATGGATATGTTTTTTGAAGGTGACGTGTCAAGATTATTGCGAAACTCAGTAGTGAAATGTAAAACATGTGTGGTAAATTTTGATGGGAAGACAATTAAACGTCTTAAATGAAACGCAGGAGTCTTCAGATTTACCTTGCTCTACAATAATACGAGTTATTCCACTCGTGACTGAAGAAGAGCAGTTCAGTTCTTCAGGGACGTGTTACGCTGGAGCTGGAATCATTAGTTGCAGAAAAACTAGAGGTGCTCAAGCAGCACCTCCTTTCGCGCAAAATTACGGAAAAAATATTCAAATTTTCGAAAAATTGTACAGGACCATATTTCAAAATCTATCTTTAAGGAACACATTTCATTAAGGGAAAAATCTCTCCTTAATACTTTAGTTGAAGGAAGACCCGGAAAAAATTTAAATTCTTGATTTCCGAATAATCAGGTTTTTCGACCAACAGTAGACCTGCACCATTCTCTTAAACGTCCTTCGCAATATCAAAATAATAATAATAATAACAATAATAATAATAATAATAATAAATAAAAAACTATAAAGCAATTTTGTTTAGATTTGGAAAATGTCCCATGGGCTTCATGTAAACTACCCTCCAAAATTAAAATATCGCTTTCAAATTCAAGGGGCCGCGACATCAGCCAGATTGATAGGGGAATATCAATTTTGGAGAAAATCAGCTGATCGGTTTAGCCACTTGCATTGTGGACGAGCAGACGTTTTGCCAACATTCGATTTTTCAATATCAAGGACCTACAAAACATGGTTTCTGGCTACATCACGTGTTAGAGGAGTTTTTTCTTTTTTTTTTTTTTTCTTTTTCTTCTTTCTTTCTAAATTTAGCAACTGGATGTATTCACCTTTTCGTTTTTAAATTCAATGCGAATTCGCAAATGTCATTGGAAGATAAGTGCATGATACCACCTGACGCCCTATTGTTCGCACCGTATGTCAGTATTCCATCTGTTCAAAGATAACTTGATAATGTAGCTCTTTATCGACCGAAATTGCGTTTCCAAAACCGGTTAATTGCCTTTCTCTCTTTGCACCAAATACTGATAAGTTTATCTCGAGGTGGCAAATTTTAGCCTGATAAAACTTTGGTCGTTTTTTCAACAATTGATGAGTGCGAAGAAGCCTCGCTTGAAAAATAAATGTAGCAGTTCTAATTGCTAATAATCTAACGGTTGGTGTGCTAGCGTTGCGCATACGGACAGACGAACAGACAGCCAGACGTTTCGCCGTCAATCGATTTTTCGTTACGAAGGACGCACAAAACATGGATTCTGGCTACACCACGTATTAGAGGATTTTTTTTCCCTCTATTTAGCAAGTGGATTTATCCGCCTTTTCCTTACCAGGTCCTTGCTATAAGGGTTTGTGACGAAAATTCGGTGGTCCGGCGCACTTTCTCCTCTTACGTTAGTCGGTGCGAGAAAGTAATAATAGTAGCCGTTTAACAGAAAAAATATAGATAGGAGCGATTATCATGTTGGGTGTTGATGAAGAATGTAGTGAGACAACTACTAATTACAATATCCTGCTTTCTCATTTATTTTTAACAAAAATATTGTAAACAGTATTTACAACATTATAATTGAAAAATAGTTGTTTTTACTTACATAGAAATACTTTATTTTAAGAAATAATCTCTTTAACTGCCCTGTTTTGGCACACAATGTGAACTGACAGCAAGTTCACTGCAATATCGTAACTCATAACATGTCACTGAAAAGTATCTTACAAAGCTAAACTGTGACCCAACAAGTTCACAAAAGTCAAAGGTTGTCATTGAATATTTCAGATATTCCCATATTTGTTTCACCTGTAATTCCAAGAGTTTCTGATGTTCATAAAAATACTAAATCATAACATTACAGTGAAATAAATTACTGATTTAGAAATCTTGCCCCCAAAAATGTTTTGAAATTGGTTGTGCCACCAACTTTTTCATTTTTAATCCCATTTTACAATGCTCTCCATATTGTATTAGTATGAAGTTCATTATTCACAACTACCTTAACTCACAATATGCAACGAAACAATTTACAGTTAGTATTATAAATTGTTTTTGGAAAAAATACAAATTCATTTCTACTTGAGCATCATATCAATTCTGAATATTTTTGTAAAACACTTTAGCAATATCAGCCTTTTCTTATCTCACAAGAAATGAATGATCCTTTTGGTAACATCAGTAAGACATGTAACTTATTGACACATGCCTTATAAAAACATTTTTTGAACAAATATGTAGACAATTTTAGAAAATTATCTACTTAGGTAACACCTTGTAAGGGTTCAGAATACCTTTAGGATCAAGCAATTTTTTAATATCATGCATCATATTTAGGGAACTATCAGACTTTGAATAATGAATGAATTTTGTCTTCTTGAATCCTATGCCATGTTCAGCACTAACACTTCCTTTTAGTTTTGAGGTCCATTCAAACACAAAAGGCTCTATGAGATTATGTAAGTCATGATCAAATTCTTTAGATGTTATATTGAGATGAAGATTTCCATCACCTGAAAGAACACATTTAAATAAATTAAAAAATGTTTAAACACTGTAAGTGAAATAAACTTTGTACTATATATCAATATCAACCAAATTTCAAAAATGAGATTATTATGTGGATTATGATCATTAATCAAGGAAGGAAGAATGGTATTAAGATAAGAAAGAAAATAATTTTATGTGCGTATACCCAAAATACAAAATTAATCACTGGTACATAAAATTATATTTAGTAGGATTAAAGCAGATTACTGGTAATAGGAGTCAACAGCATAAGGATATTTTCTAAGACTGTAGGAGAACTTTTTTTACAATTTTGTGAGAAATCAATGAATAAAAATAGATTATGTATTTAGGGTAGAACTGTACATGCAGTAGTTAGCTATATTCCACGAAGCCTCAGACGGAGGCAAAATTAAAATTCACAAAAAAGTAAAATGAAAAAAATTAGTAAAAACTACTCTACTAAAATGACTAAACTGGCAAAAAACAAGTTATTTTAAAACAACCAAAACCTTACCTATATGACCATATCCACAACATCGCAAAAATTTCTTATTACCAGCAAGTCTTTCAGCCATTTTAGGAACAATGGTGTAAAATTCTTTCAAAGGTAGTGAAATATCATACTTAAAAACATAGCCATCATGAACCAATCCCTCAGCCACACGCTCTCTTAGCTGCCATAAGTACTGTAAAGAATTACTAATATGAAATTATTGAACATCGAGGGAAAATGAGTCACAAAATGTGTTTATTAGTTCCTCTTTCCTAACATTCATCAACTTGATTCTCTAATTTTTGGGAACAGTTTTTATACTTTGATTTAGATATTTTTAAAATCCTATGTTTTTCCTTTATTTTTAAAAAACATAAAATATTTCCACAAAATTATCATAAATAATATAAATTTGCTGTTGTCTGTGGAACTTCACATTTAATACCCATAGCCTTTAGGCAGAAACTCCACCTACAGAGGATAAAATTTGAGATTATTTGTGACTCATTTTCCCATAATGTTTACAAGGCAACCCCTTACCAATGTGGCCAACACCACAGCATCGCTTGACTGAAGTACCAACCAAACGTTTGGCCATTATAGGAACAATGTCATAAAAATTTTTCAAAGGAAGAGAAATATCGTATGCAAGAAAGCAACCATCTGCCAACAGCCCTTCTGCCACTCTCTCTCGAACTTCCCAAATTGACTGCAAAAGTAAATATATTGTATTCCCTCTAACAGACAAACAGTATGAAATTTCAATTTTTATTTCAGTGATGATATCAGCAATAAGAAAATCAAATGGGTTCTAATATGCAATAAGACTGTAGGAAATATAAGGAATAAAATACTTAACAGTGAATATTCCAAAACAGAAACATCACAATAATATTAAATCTGCAAAGTTTGTTTTGCAATATATTTCCAGGCATGAAAACCACAGAATATCTTGATAAATTACAAAATTCTCACCAGTAATGGTTTATTTACCAACTCACATTTGTGAGTGAGTCTCATTTGCTTGTCAATACATTTTCCTCCAATCAAATTATTTTAATACTTCTTAATGTAATTCTTCATAAAACACATTACTGCATTATTTCAAGATAGAGGAACATAGTGCACAATACTAAAAACAATTGTTACCTGAATTCGTGATGGCTCATTGGCTACAGTGCCATCAAGAACTTCTCCAGAACTCATTGAGGATTCCAAGAAAGCATTCAGTTTAGCTTCATCATGTTCTCCATTGCTTCCAGATGTTTCCAATAACATATAAAATGGATGTTCTCCTATTGGATTTCTCAGATTAAGGTTAGATGTGACAGCATCTAATGTCACATGATCCAACATTTCACAAGAAGAAAGGACCTCCCCTAGTTTTCGTCGAGCACTTATTGAAGTTTTCAGAACATCGTCAAATGAATTGAGGCCTAGATGAAAATGGAATAAAAATATGTATGCAGAAATTATGTAAAAAGAAAATATTATTTTGATGTCAAAGTGAACAATATACAAGCAGAACAAAAGGAATATTATACGTGGTAAATGTAAACATAAGATAATAAACATTTTAAAGAACAACTGAACTATGTTGTGAAAGAACCTGCATTTACAAGATGATACGAACATTCCTGAGTCCCAAAGTATTAATTAATTAATGGGTATTTTCTTCTTGGAAGAATGAAACTGTGTTGTAAGTTTCCTCCTATAGTACACTGAACATTGGTTCCTGATGATTATTTTATGAATAAGGGTCAAGTGACATCACAAATTTTCCTAAGTAGTGCGCTCGGCTACTCATTGGTTTTTCTCTTAAGCACATTTAATACAGTCATCATAAAAAGTTATTCCTGTGCTACGAAAACCCTTTCAGCTTATCTGTGAAAGGTGATAATCTGTTCCCATTTTACATGCATTATTTTGTGGTAGATAATGAGGTGAGCAGTCTTTGTCAAGAGTTCATATGTGCCAATGTCCTGATGATGTTCAGGCAATTGGGAACCGTGAGAGCTGAGCAGTATTTAACAGATGTAAGGCTCATCATCTTATCACATTCTAATTTGTACTGAACTATTTACCATTGTAGTGATAGTGATATTAATTGTAGCGAACAGTGGAGTTTTTGCTACAAAAGGGACATCTCAATACAGTGATAATGATGGTGATGATTTGTTTTCATAATTCCAATTGAGATGATTTCACAAACAAAATCAATGGGAAAATTAGAAAATCATGACATATAGGTCACAACAAAAACAGTAAAAATGGAGGAGAAATATAAGATGTCTGGTATCAACATGTTGATCATTCTTATGTAATATCATTCATAATTTATCATTCTTAAATAATAGAAGGTATCTACATCACCAGCAATCTAATAAGTTCTTACCTACTAAAATAATATTAATAACTGAATGATAAAAACTTTCAAGTTGTTCTAAGCTGATGATTTTTTTTTTTTTTGTCTTGTCCCATTACTCAGAAATTACAAGATGGAAGCAAATTATTTTCAAATATGTACACACAATTTAATTGTATTTGCATTAAATTCAACTATCGAAAAGTTTAATTAATTAATTAATTAATAATGGAACTTTTAAGAAAATAGCTCATAAAATGACTTTAGGAGTTAATTAAGACAACCCATACATGTTCACAGCGGACAACAAGAAGGTCAACTACACTTCTGATTCCCCTTTTCCATTAAACTTTTTTTATTTACTTATAGAACATTTTACTAGAAAATAAATAAAACATAATACAAGGAAAATGCAATTACAACTTTAATTATTGAATTAATAAATAAAATTGAACAGTTTCCAGGTTCGCAGGATGGTTTGGATAGCAACTTCCCAAATGTGTACAGATTACCCAAATCATCAACTGATAAAAAGAGAAATATGGACCTGAACATATTTACATAAATAAAAAGTCGGGGGGACAGTGCACTTGCCTACGAGTCAATCCATTGACAACAATTATTTTGTAGACCTTATTTTTATTACCTAGAAAAGCAACGTTAACAGCCTTTGGACTGGGAGGACAGTGAATCGCAACCTTTGTTACAAGTCCCAAAGTTCCTTCAGATCCAATAAATAGATGCTTCAAATGATAGCCAGTATTATCCTTCTTCAGGGAACTCAAGCAATCTATAACTTCTCCGTTTGCTTTCACCTGTAAATCCACAAAATCATTAAATTATCAGGAATGAACACAAAAATACTAAATTCTATTACACTAAGTCCACCAAAAGTCAAAGTTAACACATTTAAAAAAAAACAAATATAACATGTTAATAAATAACTCTTTCTTATCAAAATGGATCATGGATTTAGAAAGTCATTGGGAGAAGGATATTTTGTCCAGACTCCCCTTCCCTTCTTATATTTTCAAGGAAAAATTTCTTTTTTTAATGTGAAATGTTTTTCTAGTGCTTGGGCTCAATTGAATATGATGTGATCAATACGTGTTAGTTGTTTTGACTAAACCGAGTAAAAGTATTTTAAAAAATGTTGGATTAGAAGAGGGTTTCAGGATATCATGGTTAGGCCACTAGCTCACACATACAGCCTACTATATTAAAGAGCTGCTAAATTATAACACGGATTTAGAAGAACGTGAAAAATAGTGATTACAATGGCAAGTTGTGGAACTACTTTTGCCATTTTTGTGTGGGTAATTTGATTACTATCTTTGTTCTGTTGGGTCACTGGCATGGTCATTGATAACCACACATATTATCACTTTTTCTCTCAACATATATTTATTTGAAATATATATGGTAATTTAGAGTTGTTTCAGGAATAAATGTTCATTTTATGTAATATATTTATGTTCATCTGCTCTTCATCTAGTAAAATACTTATTTTCCCCCTTTTCCTTGCATAAGTCGTGAGTTCTTACCGCCTCTACACCAAGCACACTGCCATGAAGACTTCCATATCTCAACAAGCGTATTCCACCTGCATTTGTTGACACATTCCCTCCAATGTGGCAGCTTCCTTTGGCCCCCAAATCAAGAGGCATGATGAAGCCGTGTTCAGAGAGGTATGTCTCCAAAGCTTCTAGTACACAGCCAGCTTGGCAAATGAGCACACCTAAAACAGTAATTCCATAATTAAGCCTTATTTTGATTTTAAAAAATTGCTTAAAAACTATTAATATACCACATCATTCACGTTAAACCTGCGTAAGGAAGCAAATTAACACAATTTAAGAGCTTATCATCTACATAATAAAAAATATATTTTTAATAATCAATTCACTCACTTCCATGACTGGGTCGATAAGAAACGATTTAAAATATATAAGCATGTGTTTATGTATTATATGAAATTTTCATCATACAAATCTTTTTTAAATGTAAACACAATCTTTTTTCTGCAAAGAACATTTTCTTTTTCTTTACAAAACTAAATTACAAGATCTTTCTTGCATAATATCCTTAAATAACTAAAGTTTGAAGGCTGTACAAATTTGTAATATCTATTTCAAGATATTAACATTACTGTACCTGATAATTCATCCAAACTGATGATTTGATTCATGAGACTTGTTGATATTATAACTTCATCAAAAACTGGTACACTTCCTCCAACTAGCCCAGTATTGCCACCTTGTGGGCATACAGCAAGAGTTTCATCATTACAGTATTTAAGGATTGCAGAGACTTCCTCAGTAGTCTTAGGTTTTAAAACTACTCTGCTTTGGCCTGGAGAGAGAAAAAAAAATAATAGGAAAAATATTAAAATTTAGAAATAGCTACTCATTAAGTACCTAACTCTAAGAGAATAGCAAACAAATATAGAAAAGCTTAGCAGATAAATCAATAATTTATTTCACTGTAATGCTATCAAGTTGGGAGAAAAAATTATAATAGCGTACCGCGAACCATTTTGATCCAGTCGACATTGTATGCTTCAACATCAGCTGGATCAGTTAAAGTTCGGTCTTTTCCCAGAATATTCTCAAAGAACTTGATGTGTCTGTCTGTTAGTTCAGAATAATTTCCTCTCTTTACTTCTGGATAGCGAACAGCAGTTAATTCTACTTGCGGATTCTTCTGAAGGCATACTGATTTATGTAATTTTCTTGATGCAATGTATGAAAATGAAACTGCAGATTTTGTTTGATGTGCTCCTCGCACCAGGAGTCGAAAAAAATTTCTAGACAACATAGTCTCTTACTGAAAAGAAAACAATTTGTTATAAGAAGTGAATATTACGGAGATTTTTGATAAATAAAAACTATGAATTAGCATTATCAACTAGAGTATTTGAGCAAATTAAAGACTAGCTTCTGCATTAACCAAGGTTACTTCCACCAATAAACTTTCTTATTGTGTGCACTTCATGTACAAAAACAATATTCATAAGGAAAACTTAAAAAGGAATTTAAAAATAATTTTTACAATGTGAAATGAAAAGAAAGAGTGATAATTTACCAAATCACAATACTTGAAAGATAAGGCACAGTGATTGGGCTTATCTTGCAAGTCTCATTGCTATGACAAAATAATCAATTTACATATCATGGGTAGTAGTATATGAGATAAGCTCATAAATCATGCTTTGAAATTGATGTATGTGTTGACACTTCTCATTAACACAAGGAAAGCATACAACCTACACTACTTCACATGATTATGTAGTTAAGCAATGAACATTATAATTACTTTAATTTTATCAACATTTTCATTTATCTGGTTTCAAGAAATATTTTTGGTAATAAAATGATTCAATTTCTTATTTGAAGCAACTCTTGAGAATTACCTAGATGGTAAAAGATAACACTCTATTCAGTAATACACAAGAACCAAATTAAATACAACACTACAAAGTAGGGGATTTTGACAAATTTTATACTTCAACTTAAATTTGATGTTGCTAAATTCTGTAGTGTGATTCTGTCCAATCAATTTTTAAAATATGCGTTAAGTGCTTTAGTTTTGTGGCATATGCTAATATTTCTAAAGGAAGTGTACGAAACAAACATTGGTAGGTACTCAAAAAGGTTTCTTGAAAGATCGTTATTGAATTCTCTATAAACTTTTGGTCCTTAGTTCATTATCAATTTATTATGGAATATAGAGGGTCGACAGGTGTAGTGGAGAAATGTAAGCACATCGCCGCAAAATTAGAAGTTGAAAATTACACCGCTATGTCTGCAGCTGCGCACTTATTCGTATCTGTCATGTGTAGCTCCCAACGAAATTTTACACCAACATTACTCCTTAAGACAGGCGGTGACAATATTACTGGCCCATACAACAGCACGCATATCACTGGACTTAATTCAGTTCAATTTACTCGTATCAGAAGCTATCTGTCGTACTCAATGACGTGCAGATTTGCATACTGAAATGGTCCTACAAACAAGTTACATAATTCCCGAGGGTGTAATTATCTCACCAACAGCATATGACTGGTAATTATATGTACTTTTACATTATGATCATTCTACTAGAAAACAGCAGTTTCTGCGTCGCTTTTTCACTAGTTAAATAATCCAGCTCGTCGTGTCTACTAAGGAGCAGTGAAGGGGGTGGGAAGCACGTGTTCTGTCGAAGGTGGTCGAAGGTATGGAGCAGGAACAATACAGGGGGAATTGAAGATTGTTTGCGAGAGTTAATATAATTTATTTATTGATGATAACAACAGCAGAAATTTTGTGGAATTATGAAAGAAACACGATATACATTTTGAAAGGAAATCCCGACTGATAATACCGGCCAATATAATCACCTCCCAAACACCTGTCAATCACAACACTGACCTCTGTAGCCATCAGCAGTTGAACGTCAAAACTTGCTCTATGTGACAAGACCGTTGCTGAAGCCGAAACAGCGGAAATCTAATAGTAACGTTGGTAGTCGTGTAGTCATTTGCACCAGGCGCAAGTGTTGGCGGCTCAGGCAACCTGGTGTAGAGGAATATAGATTTTCCCCACGAGATGGCGCGTGCGTACAGTAATCACGACTCAAGGCCGAAGTTGTTTGTGTAGAGACGTTGCTTCTTAATTGGAATTTATTGGACGTTCTTCTCACTGCGCGCTTCCACTCTTAAACGCTGCAATTTCACTAACTTGTGGTGAAAAGTATTGTTTTTTTAAGAAAGAGGAGACCTTTGAGATCAATTAGTCAAGCAAAAGTATTGATATTACTTATTAGTTGATGACAATAACTCGTTTATTTTGACGACTTTAATCCCAGCCCAACTCTGAATTGCTTATCGATTGAGACGTAAGCGGTCGTTTAAGGGACTGTGGCAGCAACAGCAAGTATCTAACATGTGTCACCGAGGAGAGGGGTGGATCCAGCCTGTCATTGGGGAGGACAATAGATCTTCCATATGGGCTTAAATACTGCGAGAATCAGGGTTCCCATCCTTAACTAAATGGCCAAGGACAGAATGCGCGGTTACTTTATCCATATATTTTAGACGATTTTACAGTTTTTTCTTCTTTCTTATTTTTATTTTTCCTGCATTCCCCTTTTTTTTGTAGGCGGGCGGGTAGGGGAGGCGTGGGCCCCTGCCCCCCTCCCCCGGGATCCGCCTCTGACAGAGGATGCCCGCAGATTCTCTCATAGGATAGATACATTGAAATAAACGACCCTCACAATTAAGATGATTTTGGAATTTTTGGAAATTTTTGTCATTATGTTTATTATGAAATGAATGACCAGGAGTTATGACAAGTCCTTTTATTGAATATTTGTAGGACACTACCATCTTCACGGAGACACAGACACTCTTCCCGAGCCTTTTCCAAGGGTAGCTTATCGTTAACATTAAATAAATACGTTATATTTTCACTGTTAACGTACCATTGAAAAATTGAGATTTGAAAGACTTTTGGAGAGTAAACCTTGATTGCGAACACATGAGATTTCTACAGCAGTGTCTTACTTAGCGTTCCTTCAGTGTACTGAAGGCAGGGTAGAATTGTATACTATTAAGAAGGGCAAGGTACTTTTTAGGAGATGCAATTATTTTTACCGTTTACACGAGTTCTAATCAAAAGTTACGTACAATCTTGAAATCAGTTTTTTCTTCCTAAATATAAAATTTGAATCATAAACCATCACCAAACCAGCGAATTACGACAACAATAAAAACAACAACAACAATAATAATAATAATAATAATAATAATAATAGTTTTAAATATATATATTTAAAACTATTATTATTATTGTTGTTGTTTTTATTGTTGTCGTAATTTGCTGTAATATATATATATATATATATATATATATATATATATATATATATATATATATGATCATTATTTTTATTAGGTCAAATCTGAAACCATTTCGGGCAGCATCTGGTCTGCATTCTTCGAACTACGGGCTTGTTCTTCATTATCCTATATTGTGCTGTGAACATAAATAACGTGAGTGTGAGGCATTAAGTTCTGCCTTAAGGTAGAATATTCGGATTTTATTGAGTTGAACTCCCACTCGTGGAGTATAGCCTTTCTTGTAATACTATCTCGGAATCGACGTGAAGTTATTAAGTTCCTTCCCGAACTAGGGAAGGTTATTGAGCTCATAATTGTTCTATTACTTCTAAATCTGCAATACAGTGATAATATATTCTTGAAGTTTAGCAATTTTTTCAGGATTGACAAAGGCCAGGTCTTCTGTACTATTTGTGAATTCTACCTATAAATGTCGATTTCTTTCATGAAAATTTCGTTTTCACGGTGGTAGTCAGAATAATGTGAAGTAAATTTTGTGTCAAAATGTAATAGTATTGATTCTCTGTACTTTCACAAGTTTCTAATGATCAAATTGTAAAATTAGTTTCTTCTTGCGCAATATACATTTCAAAGTTGAAAACAATGAAACATCAGAATGTAGATTCTTATAGTCGATTTTATACCTCATACAGTCCAATAAAACATTTAGTATTCCATACAATACACAAAATTCGAAAAACATTTGTTGTTGTTGTTCTATATTATCAGCATTTCATTTTGTTTGATAAAAGAATTGCATAAACACGGGGAAAAGAGCAATTACTGAAACATCGTAAAAGATAATTCTATTTTATGAGGAAATCAAACAGTACTCTAAACATGCTATATATTGTTGGCGAATTGCCATGTGATATAAGAATGTAGCAGACTTGTTGCGTCCTCAGAGCAAGAGATCTAGAGCACAGCTATAGAACGAGGACTTCTAATACAACAGTTGCAAGGACGGCTTCCGGAGGAAGGTTGTCGTTCGAATTATCGATCGTGTGAAAGAAGCGAGACACACCTGTTGCCTCGAACAACAGGACGTGCTTTTTAGAGCTTCTGGGAAACCACAGTTGACACACATATTTGACAAAAATAAGATGTCTGCTGGTTAGTGTGTAGGAATTTGCGGGATCATACTGATTCTCGAAATGTAGGGCGCTAGAGGAATTTCGTGAAATTGAACAGTTGCAGAGTGATACTGAAAAGAGGTTATTTGCAAGTAATTAATATTGTATCCTTATTGTAATGTATTTAATTTGCATTGCCTATGTTTACATATAATAAAGTTATAATTAGATAGGAGTATGTGTTGAATCTATTAACTAAAATTAATATTCGTTACCAGTTGAACCTTACAATATTAACGTGCCACGCGATATCGCAGAGAACATAAACCCTTGAATAGGGCAAAGTGCCTAATTAGTTCAAGTTTGAGCGTTAAAAGTAGTTTTAGTGAATCGAGTTACGTATACATTATTATCGATTTAAACTAATGAACTGGACCGCTTCATCAATATCACTGCCAACGTAAAACGCTCCTCTTTAGCGCTCAGTTTAATGTAAAGTAACTATCGGTCGTTTCCGCCCTAGTACGCAGTTTGCTCTGCCCTAATATTGCTACCAAACGCAGACGCTGCCCTGGTCACCTTCAGCATTGCAGCCGCGCGGATCGCGACGGCGCTGTGCGTAGGGCAGCGCGAGGGAGTGGGGGTGGGAGTGGGGGCGGGGCGATGTGGGTCAGGGCGTCCCAGCGCCGTCCGCAGGCACCTGCTGTCGCGTCTGCCCCACCCGTTCGTCTTTGGCGCAAAGCATTCCCGTAGGCCCCAGGGCGGCCGGCTACCCTGCCCGGCCCTGCCTGCCACTGCTGGCCGCGTTTTTCCGTCCTCCTCCCACCTCATCGCTCTAATTTTTGGATTGACGCGGTCAGATGATGTGCGTGTAGCATTTCATAAAATTGCCATGCTGTATCATTTCTAGGTAAAAATGAAAAAGCCAAAGATGAATTGGCGTATATTTGTGTCACTATCAGAATAAGACTTGACTACGAACTTTCAGGTAGTAAAAAATCTTGTACCAGTTCAAGACTTCAGTATCAGTATCTTCAAATAGTCTCAGTATATCAGTAATAACTGTAAAATCAAGCTGTAAATATCAAATAATATGAACAAATAGTATTAGTATCTTCAAAATCAGATTAAGACTTGGCTACAAAATGTATGTACTGTATAAGTGAAGATTCAGAATGTAACTCTGACTAAGCATTTATATTTTATTGAAATGTGTATTTACAAAGGAACATCTACAATGATATTTGTAGTAGATTTCATGGCCGGCACGCTTTAGTAGCGTAGATAACGTGAGTGGCGATTTTCCGTGCTCGCGGGAGTTAAACACACATGGCCCCGGCGCTCGCCGCTCGCCCTAATCTCGTCCGCGCTCTCCACGATCATTATTCCCCTCCGCTCCGCGCTAAGCCTGCAGCCACGAGCCGGCGCTGCGCTCTCAGTCCGTCTGTCTCCCTCCCTCTCTCTCGCACGCACAGGCGCGCCGAGGTTGGTCTGCGCCGCCGCACTCGCCCACGCGCGCCGCTGCCGACGCGACGTCAGCCGCACGCCTCTCTCTCTCTCTCCCTCTCCCTCCGTCTCACTCTACCCCGCCCGTGAGTGTCTCCCGCTCTCGCTCGTTGCGGTTCTCCCTTCCGTCCGCGAAGCGCGTGCAGGCAGCCTCTCCCCCACCCTCCGCCCTCGCCCTCGCCCTCGCTCTCGCCCATGGCCGCGCCGCGCTCGCTCGCCGCTAAGGAGCTTGCCTCGTTCGCCGCAGGTCTCCTTCCCCTTTGTTCTCCGTTCGCGCCTCGTGCTTCTTCGATTATCTGCGCTCTCTCTCTCTCTCTCTCACTCACTCACTCTCTCTGTGACTCACCACTGAAACGTGCTCGCTTTGTCTCCTCCGGGCTGTTTGGGGGGGGGTGTATTCCAAAATCCTCGTAAAAGTGTTCTCCCGCTAGACTTTAAACAGGGTATCCATTTAGGTTTAAAGGCATTAATTTCCACTCTACAAATGTTCGTTTACCGCCTAATTACAGTGTGTTATCGAAACCTTTCAGAGCCTACTCCTCTCTTTATGTGGTGGGACTGCTCAGTGGCATGAACG